CCCTACCTCTGGTAGGTGGGATGTCCCGGTCCCTGTTCAAGAAAACAGAAGCAAAGAAACTGTTAAAAATATCAGCTTTCTTGTCTGGCGTAGCCACAAGATTACCGTTTGCGTCTTGCAGGGGCCCTACATTGCCTGGTGCCCTCTTCTTGCTCCCAATATACTTGAAAAGGGGCTTTCTGTTAATCCTGGACACCAGCCTGAGCTCCATCTGTGCCTTAGCCTTCCTAATAGCCCTCCTATGCTCCAGGGCCAAGGAGTACTTCTCCTTGGTGATAGCTCCTCCCTTCCACTGGGTGTACACCCCGCTTTTAGCAATGCCTGAGGACTGAATGCCCTTGCTGAGCCAAGGGGGTTTTTGAGCACTCGTACCCCGCTTGTTTCTCAGGGACTGTTATCCTTTGGGCCTGGAGGATCGCCCCCCTTAAGGTACGACCTTCCCTTGTGGACACCCATCTCAAACTTCTGGGCCCTCAGTGCCTCCCCCACTAGTCTCCTAAGCTCATTGAAGTTGGCCCTTCTGAAGTCAAGGGCTTTAGCCTTGGTGTGATCCCTTGAGCACCTGCTTTGGAAAGGGAAATCCAGCAGGCGATGATCGCTGTCACCCAGGTGGTCAAGGACCTGCAGTCCCCTCACCAGGTCATCCCCCGTGGCCAGGAGCAGGTCCAGCAAGGCATTACCCCTAGTGGGGCTGTGCACTTCCTGGATAAGGTGAAGGTCCTGTAATACAGCCAGAAACCTACGTGAGCGGTCAGACCTGGCTGTCTGCTCCTCCCAGCAAATGTTGATTTTGGATCCCTTGGTTCAGATTCCAGAGACACAAAGAGCTGCTGAGCAAGGTGATTTTGGAGGTGGGGATTTAGAGCCGAGCTGCACTTGCCACCTCTGGCAGCCTGTGTCAGGTTTATTGCTAACTCTTGCTGGCACTCTGCCCAGTGGTTTTACTGGCCTGTAGGAGCCCAGGGAGCCTCTGAATATTTGAAATGGGCCTTTGTGGTGGGCCAGTTGGGGACACTCCTGTGCTGAGGGAGTCACTTCACTGTGCTCCACCAAAAACCAAGCTTTGGCTGCCTCCCCAGGGGCACGAACTTCTGGCCAACCCCCTCCCTGGAGCACCCACAAGCCTGGGGTAACTGCTGCCACCACCCGGGGTCTGGTCTTTGTCCAGGCTCTGTGCCCCCCATGGTACACAGGCCTTGGAGAGCTTGCGGGTGCTTGACCCACTGTGAAATCTTGGGGTGCTTCCTTTAGCCTGAAATACTCATAGTAGTCTC